TAGAAGTCTTACACTGGGAGATCCTTTCTCTCCCTTTTTTTTCACTTTGACGGTGGATGTGTTGAGTAGAATGATGGATAGGGCTAGTAATAGAGGGGAGGTGGAAGGTTTTAAAATTTAGAGGGAAAAGGTGGAAATGACTCATTTACAATTTGCAGTTGATATTATTTTTTTATGGTGAAAATGAAAAGAATATTAAGTCAGCATTCTAAGCTTGAGATGTTGAGTTGGTATCGAGTCTTCAAATGAACTTGTCTGAGAATACAATTGGAGGAATTAATGTACGACAAGACAAGTGAGTTAGATTGCCTGAAACTTTAGGACGCTCTATTTCAAAATGGCAACTTAAGTATATGATATTACCTTTAGGGGATACCCTAAATTCCTCAAGTTTCTGAAAGCCGATGATCCAAAAGATTGGGAAAATATTAGATGGGTGGAAGAAAGTTTAATTGTCTAAGGGAGGTAGAATCACTTTAGTTCATTCAGTGTTTTAGAGCATTCCTATTTGTTATATTTTTTTATTTAGTAATTGTGCAATTTTCACACTAATCTTGACAATTTTGTTGGAGAGAAATTTAAAAATACTCAAGGACAAATATGACTAAAAGGAAGGCTTATGGGACCAAATGTATTTCTTGGCTTCATTGCGGACTTCAACTTCGAAGGATTTTGAGGGCATTCCACTCCTTTGTATTGTGGCAGATTGGAGAGCATCATGCGTTCTATACTTATATTGTATTTCTTTTCCATTACTTGGTTGAACACCTTGTCAATCCTAAGCTCTCTTTGACATACTGTTTTTAGATTAATAAAATTATTTGTTTCCTATAAAAAAAAAAAAGATGTCTTTGAAGGNGTATTGTGGCAGATTGGAGAGCATCATGCGTTCTATACTTATATTGTATTTCTTTTCGGTCTTTCCATTACTTGGTTGAACACCTTGTCAATCCTAAGCTCTCTTTGACATATTGTTTTTAGATTAATAAAATTATTTGTTTCCTATAAAAAAAAAAAAAAGATGTCTTTGAAGGTCGTGAGTGAGAAGATGATAAGGGATTTCTTATGGGAGGGTAATGGAGAAGGTAAAAGAGATCATTTGGAGAGATGGGACTTGGTATCCTAATCCAAAAGTAAAGGGGTCTTACTTTGGGTAACTTGAAGGCTATAAACATTTCGTTGCTTGCCAAATGGTTATAGAAATTCCCCATTGAGATAAATAATTTATGTCATGCTCTGATCAAAAATTAGTATGAGATTGAACAAAATGGGTGGGATTCCAAAGTAAGTGAGAGAGGGTGTTCTCACTGCCCCATGAAATACATCTCATAGTGCTTATCTAATTTCTCTACCTATATCAAGTAATACGGGGAAGAAAATTCAATTTTGGGAAGATACTTACGGGGGTTTTCGCCCTTTGCATCCATGTTTTCTCACTAATATAGATTGTCTGGAAATCATAACTATTTCAAGTATGACATCATCATCTTCTATGACAATTAGTTGGAATTTTGATATTTTTTGAAACCTTAGTGAGAGAAAGGTTGTCAAGATGTCTTCGTTTTTGGGTATCCTTGATAAAGTTGAGTTGAATCCTTCTTCCGACCAAAGAAATTGGATCACCTCTTCTTCGGGATAATTCTTTTACAAAACTCTTTTCGAGTTCGTGAATGATATATCTTTCTTCCCAATCTTCCAACCGNACCTCTTCTTCGGGATAATTCTTTTACAAAACTCTTTTCGAGTTCGTGAATGATATACCTTTCTTCCTAATCTTCCGACCATTGTTAATGATTTGGAAGTCTAAGGCACCTTTAAAGCTACAAGTGTTTGCTTGGTTCCTTGCGTATAAAAGACTCAATACCAATGATGTGCTAAAAAAAAAAATCCTCCATATTGTCTTTTATCACAATGGTCTTTCTATGTGTAAAGGTTGGGAGGAAAGTATGGACTATATGTTTTAGCATTACTCCTTTGTCTACATATTGTGGAGTAGGTTATTGGGATTGTTTAGAATTCCTTGGGTAAGTCCAAAAGATTGAACTTCAATATTTGAGATTCATTTTTGACGACTTTGGTCAAAGCAACAAATCTAAGATCTTATCAAGATGAAATTGTAGCTTTGTTTTGAGTGGTGTGAGTGGAACGAAACGAGCAAATTTTTGAAAAGCAAGAGACTTCTTGGGAAGATTTATGGGATAAAATCCCTTTCATGGCTTTTTTTTGGATTACCACGATGAAGGACTTTAAAGGAATACCTTTCTTTTTCATCAAGGATCATTGGCCTCAAGTGTGTGCCAATGGTTAAGGCTTGGGATTTTGTTAATCTCTTTTGCTATGCTCATAGTTTTGTTTTTAGACCCTCTATTTTATTTTATGTATCTTTCTTGTTCGTAACTTTTATCATGAGGAATCCACTTGCCAAAAAAAAAATTATCATGAGAAATACTTGCCCTCTTAAGTACTCTTTCATGATATTATTAATGATTAAAAAAATTTCATGGCTCCTATAAAAAAAAAGAGTTATATCTATTTTGGTCTTTATTTCCTTGGCACATCATAGGCTGCAATTGATTTTTCTTCTTTTTTCCCTTCCTTTTGTACACTATTTCCCAATCTACATAATCACCTTATTTAGAATTGTCTATGGTTTGCTCCACTAAGAGGTTTCCAAGGAAACACAAATCAAATCTCAACTTATTCAAGGTCATCATTCTTCTCTTTATTTTGAGAACTCCTTAATACTATTTGACAAAGGATCAACAATTGAAACTTCAACACAAATCCAAGTAAACGCATTTAGGGTCCTCTTAGCAATAGATTGGTGTAAAACAACTGGCGCAACACACCTAGGAACATCATAAAACTACACCCAAATAGGCAAACGATCCAGATTTTCATTCACAAGCTAAATATTAGAAACCCAATGGAGAAGAGCAATCAAATCACAAACAATATGCCAAAGACCATCGTCAAGCACACGTTCTCTGCCCCATAAATTATTGAATTTAAGATTCTCCAAGATTAAGACATCAACTTCATTGCTTACTTTTCGACAAACATCTCTTCCACGAGATAAACCATCCATTCAGACCAATCAGCTGTCTTTCTTCATTTCAGCAGAAATTTCACCATTTTAAACCACTGGTTTGGTATACTCTACTATAACTGGTTCATGAAGCCCATGTAATTAGGTTACCAGGTTTCATAAAAGCTAGCTTGCTCTGTCACAACACATATTCATGGCTAGATTACAAAGTTGGTGGCCAAGCTAAATTGCCTTCTAAGTTTGACCGCAAGAGAGAAGAAAAATGCATTTCTAATTTGACTAACTACTTGGAAACTACACAAAACCCATGAACAAAAAAATTGTTACATTAAGACCAGAGAACCCAAGCCATATGTTAACTTACTTAAATTACTAGCATACCTTAATGCAGTTGACACCATATCAGCTCACTTTTGTTTAATTTTCCATCATCCAAGTCAACTGGAATTCTAATGATATCACTAAAAAACTTCTCTCCGAATTCGGGAACAATGGATGAGGAAAAGGGACTCTCCCATGCTTTGATCATTCTTATCCTTAATTAAATACACAAGCACATAACATGTAGGATGAAATGGTAAAAGCCCAAGGAAAACCTCTCTATCTTCGCAAATTTTCTGTGTTCAACCAAACACAAAGGAAAAAGAAAAATGAACCACACTTAAATGGCAAAAACAAGGAAAATTTCTTCATCTTCATGTGCCTCCGTAGGAAGTAAGCACTATTATTGGTGATATTAGATACTTTGCTAGGGCATATAATATTAGCTTTTACACAAGCCTAGGCCTGTAACAAGGCTAGCAGCCACTAAACTAAACAATTTGCTCCCGTCAAATTGGATAGGCTCCCCCCCCCCCACCCGAGCTTAATGCTTTCCTTTTGATTGATTGTAATCTGAATTTTCCAACTTAAGGAAAGATTATGATGCTTGTTTGACTAATCAAAAAAAAAAAAAAAACTGAAGACAAAAAGGTAAAAGAGCTTTTCTTTCCCCACTAGTACCTTTGTCGCTAATTCCAAACAGCAGTTCGAAGCATACACTTAAAGGACCAAAAGCTAGACCAAATACAAGCTTACTTTTCACTATACATGCGATATGAAGGAACAATAATTATGTTTTCATCTTCAATCATATGATCATAGTTAAATATCTATAAAATAAAACACATAACTTGAATTTTTATCCTTTACATATTTTCCCTCTTAAAAATATCATATCATTCATTTTTATCACATGTTCAATTATTTAATATTTGATTAATTTGAAGTTAGCATAATTTTTATTTTAAACATTATCCATATACAATAGTATACACATGTTGAAAAATTTTAATATAGTGGAATCGATTTTTTAGACGCTCAAATTTTACGCTCTGTCGTACCTTTAGGCACAGTTTATGACGAGGAGTGTTAATTCTAACTCATTGATACAAATCTAACACAAACCCGACACGAACAATTATAAAATTAACACGATTATTAAATACGCATAATAAATAATTTAAACTAATGTTTAATACTTAAAACACATTAAATAGATTTTTTTTTGTGGGTTTTGATGCGAACACAACACAAATAACACGACATGCGGGTCATCCGAACACAGCACGATTGACACCCTAATTATGAATAGTATTTAAAATTACTCATCAGGAAAATTATGTTTAACATTTTGCACAACAGCATCACAAAATGGATGGGTTGTAGCTCAAGTCTTATAAAAACTGTTCAAATGTATATTTTAACGATTGAAAACATTACCTTGCATTCACTGGCCATGGCATCTAAAACACATAATAATATGTCAGTGATACATGAGGATTGACTATCTTGCTTTGAGAATAGGGAAGAGCATATCTTGCGAGCAAACTGCAAACAAGAGATCAATTAGATAAAAACAAAGCATCATCCCTTAAATCTAAGTTGCATTGATTAAAGATAGATCATTCACCTTGTACATTGGATCTTTCATGGATGATTTTGAATGTTCAGTAAATGTTGCCAAGCAAAATTTGTGCACCAGACGCCCATTGAAGCATCTTAGCTCCTCAACCAAGAATACAGCACATCTACTTAGACATGTCACAAGAACCATGTGCATCTTCTCATTCTTATTAGCATCTACAACTCTAAACAATTCAAATTTGACAAACCTTATCAGTAAACCACATTATCTTACTTCAAACCACCAAATTACATTTATTCCATATGCTCAATAAACTGCCTAGTACCATATCTTATCAGTAAAAACCTTTTCATGTGAGTTCAAAGAAATTCTAGAAATATAGAGAACTATAGCAAATGGGTATATGTTTATACACTAAAATTCGGAGTTTTTTTTCATGTATAGTTCTGTATAGAGTCACACACCTGAACCAAGGTGAGACCTCATCTACTAAAGTGAGTACTCGACAATAATCGGCTTCTTCTTTACTTTGACTCGTAGAAGTACATTTAACAAGTGCCACAACAATCTCCACAACCAACAGTGCAAAATCTTGATCCACGCTCTCTTTATTCAACTCTGGAACGAACTTCCCTTTTGCCTTTGTGCCCTTTGCTCCTGAAACACCAGACTGAATCCCTCGAAGACTCTCAAGAACCGAAAGCCCCTCAATCTCTGCATCTTTATACCTCTCCCACGCCTGAAAACAATGTGTTAAACGAACTCTTTGTATGTGAACAGAGTAGGGTTTACACGACAACTGCGAAGATATAGAGTCAAGGCAGTTGAGGCAGAGTTTGTAAATATGGAACAATTCGAGGGCGGATTGGATGGAAATTTTGGGGGATTCAGAGAGGCGTTTGGGGATTACACATAGGGTTTTGTTGAGGAAGGGGAGGAATTGTTTGGCAAGGGATCGGGTAGTGGAGTGGGAAGCGGTGTCGACTAGGGTCTTTGAAGGTCTTTTGGATTTGGAGTTTGGGTATTGCGAGTTTAGGAGAGAGGTGAAGGGGTGGAGGTAGGAGGAGAATAGGGATTGGATGTTGGTGAGATCGGTGGACTCCAGTTTGGAGATGAGGGTGGCTTCGGTGGTGGAGTCCATGGCGGTGGTGGCGATCGACTGAGCTGTGTGCGCGAGTGTGAGTGTGTGTGTGTGTGAGAGAGAGAGGCCAAGTGGGGAACGAATTTAGTAATGGGCGCGAATGTTGCCCGCTCTTGAATTGATTCGAATGAGAGGACTTGTATAAGCTAGCTGGCGAATTACATTTTATATGCCGAAAGATTTAATAATTTTTTATTTAATATCTTCAAAATTTTAATTTTTTATATTATATACTAAAAATATTAAATGTATTATTACAATATAGTCCTTCTATTAATGCTCATTCTATCATGCAATGGAGTAATTTTTGACAATATAAACAATGAAAGTTAACAGAATAATGACACTACAATACTTTAAACCTACCTTTGATTATTACTTTTGGTTTTTGTTTTTAGTATAAAATAAATAAATTTAAATCTTTTAAGATATAAAATATAATTTCTCCTATATAGAATCATTGATAATCTCTTAAGGATCAGGTCATAAATAATTTATTTTTCACAAATATCTTAATCTCGACATAAATAACTTGTTTTTAATTTGATTGAGGAAGAAATTAATTGTGATACTTATAAATTAGTTGGAACACTTTGAAAAAAAAAAATTAAACACTTTTAGCATTTGAGTTGTGAGCACCTTACAATTCAATGTAATTGATTGGAGTAATCTATGAGTAAACTAATTATAACTTGTGCATGAAGATACTATAGAATATAAAATTCGATCTCTCAAAATTTTGATATCACTTTATTAAATAATAATTTTTATTTCCTTTATTTCTTTTATTATATCATTCAAAAATTATTTTTATCCATTATTTTGTTAAAAATATTAACAAATTTTTCTCAACATGTGTATATTATCGCGTGTGGATAATGTCTAAAATAAAAATTATGTTAAACAATAAATTAATCAAATATTAAATGATTAAACATATGATATAAATGAGAGATATGATGGTTTTGAAGGGAAAAATGTATAGTAAAAAAAATTCAACTTCCTACATGTTTTATTATATAGATATACGATGGATCTAAATCCCCTCCATTATCTTTTCCCTACAATTCCCCTCAATGGCCTATAATGAGTAATACATCAAAAAAATAATTTCGACGAACAATATTCTTTTTAATAAACTAAAGTCCCTAAACAAACAAGGACCATAACGTCGGACATACTTTTTACAAACAAATATGTCTTCTTCTCTTAAGGTAATTTGTCATGTATATATTTTGTATAGATGTACAAAGAGAGAGAGATTTTAGTGTCATAACTAAGGTTTTTCTTCTTCTCCAATGTTTAGTTGTTGACCTCCGTTTGTTTTGTGGTTTGTTTTGACGTGAAGATAGAGTTAACATTGGTTATTGACTGGTTTATTTAAAAAAATATAGTTTGTTGAGAAAAAAAATTGCAAGTTACTCATTGAATAGCTTATTGAGGAGAATTAGAGGGAAAGGGTAATGAAGAGGATTTGAATTTATAGTTGGCGATGGACTATTAAGGATAATTTCACTTGCACCTCTATAACTTATCACATTTTAAGGAGTTTCTTATATTATCTGAAACTTCAATTCGCTTATTTTTAGATTCTATAATATTCTTTTCATTCACGCCCATAGTCATGTAATTGCAAATCAAATAAAATCTAATGACTTGTCATTCTAAAATCAACAAAGCACGTGCACACAACATATAAAAATATTAGTTATTGTTCGCGTTTAAAAGCATGTAGTAATAAAAAAATTATCAATCATAAATGTATTTGTATTCGCATTAAAAATTAAATCACAAAACATAAAATACAGAAAAAAGAATTTCAGTACCGATTATAGTGGGAGTGAACAATGATAATGGGAGACAATGATAATTGTGGTGGGCGGCTACGATGGTGGTGGTGGGCAACGATGGTAATAGTGATAATAAATATAAGAATGAGATGATGATAATGGTGATGCATGGTGACAGTGGACGACGATGGTGGGGGTGGGGGTGGGGTGGCGGTAACAATGGTGATGGGGCGATGGTGGGGTCGGGCAGTGGTGAGGGTAGTGAAGTGTGTTTGTAAATAAGTGGTTTTAAAGATTTATAATGATGTATTTGGATTGACTTTTTAAAAATGCTTATACGATTTATGACTTCTCATAAGCACTTAAAAAAAAGTAGTATTTAGAACAATTTATTTTAATTACTTTCAAATAAGTCAAAAATAGTTTTACCACTTAAATAAGTAAGTAAAAGTAAAAAATAAATAAATAACTTCTACATCTTCAAAATCGCTTATCTACAAAATATTTCACTACCATCATCGCCACCCCACCACCGCCACCATTGATTTTTACCTCTACTGCCTATCGCCACCATCCGTCAACATCATCATCTCATTCTTATATTTATTATCACTACCATCATCATCTCACATTACCNGCTTATCTACAAAATATTTCACTACCATCATCGCCACCCCACCACCGCCACCATTGATTTTTACCTCTACTGCCTATCGCCACCATTCGCCAACATCATCATTTTATTCTTATATTTATTATCACTACCATCATCGTCTCACATTACCACCACCATCTCCCACAACCACCACCACCCATTACCATAACCCCCCCACCACCTGTCATTGCCCACTATGACCGCCACCCACCACCACCGTGTTGCCCACAAGCACCTGTCGTCACCCATCACCACTCACACCCCCCACCACTATTGTCAACGCCCATTATCGCAATCCACTAGTGCCATCATTATCGTTGTCGCTCCACTGCCACCACGGCCAACTACTATCACCGTTGCCCACTACCACCACCATCGTCACCCATGATTGCTACTATCACTATTCGTCACTCAAAATTCACCATCCCCATCACCGTTGCCAGCATAGTCGTTCTTGTCCACCACAATCGTTATTGTCTCTCACCATCATTACTGTCGTCCACCACCACTACTATCGCTCACTCTNTCGCTCCACTGCCACCACGGCCAACTACTATCACCGTTGCCCACTACCACCACCATCATCACCCATGATTGCTACTATCACTATTCGTCACTCAAAATTCACCATTACTATCACCGTTGCCCACCACCACCACCATCGTCACCCATAACTACCACTATCACTATTCGTCATTCAAAATTCACCATCCCCATCACCGTTGCCACCTATAGCATAGTCGTTGTTGTCCACCACAATCGTTATTGTCTCTCACCATCATTACTGTCGTCCACCACCACTACTATCGCTCACTCCCACTGTAAAGAGTGTTTAAATTCTTTTATTTCTCTTCTATATTTATTATTTGATTTTTGGTGCGAATATAAATATGTTTATGATTGATAATTTTTTTTATTACTTCGTACTTTCAGACACGAGTAATAACTAGTAAAATTATAAGAATGAACTATATTTAATCTAAAATTCTTTGATAGATAAAAACATCTCTCAGATTTTTACTTTTTTACCCATAAATTACCATATCCAACCGCTCAATCACTCACTTTTAATATGATTTATTTATTTTTAGACTGAATACATATTGAGTGTAATTTTAAGGTGAAGATTCATGAATTTAAGGTCACTATTTGGAGTTTAACAAACTTTTTGAATTTAAACTTTTTAAGACTCACAAGTCCCATCTCATTAAATTTTTACAATATTTTAAGAGAAAAATCAATTCAGAATTAGTTTGTAGTTTATGTGGTGATTACCTTAGAGGCAAAATACCAACTTGCAAATTGAAGGTTGTTAACTTTATTTTAATATTAAATATCTATGTAATAAGTTTAAAATAATGAGGTCAAACTTCATATTCTATTGAAGATTGGTAAGTGAAGTTTAATTTTGGTTGCAGATTCTGATTTTAATTTTGATTTCATTTGGATTTTGATTTCATGTTTTTTTTTCATTTTTACTTCTAAATTGGATGGGGATTGGATGTTGAATGGATTTGAATTGTGAAATTTGAATTTGTGATTGTGGTTGGTTGAATTGTATTACAGATGGTGGTTCAGATGGCATGTTGGTGGTGCTGGTGTTAGGGAATTGGGTTGGATGGGTTAATTTTACATTTGTGGTGTGTGCAAAAAGAGATATAATTAGAGAGAGATTGATTGTTATATGCTTGAATGTCTTATGAGCAGTAGTGGGTGTGCAAGGTACTAGGTTTAATGTGTGGGTGTGTTGTGCAGGGAGAGAGAATGGGACAGAGAAACAGTGTGCGGCGGGCTTCTGTGTGGGTTTGTGTTCTGTTGATGTGGGGTGTTTGTGTGAGAAAGAAAAGAAAATTAAGAAGGAGAGAAGGAACAATAGTGTGTTAGAGCATCTCCAACCTTGATTCAAATGTAGACTCAAATTTAAATTTGAGTCAAAATAACCTAAAAAACTTTTCCAACCTTAAACTTAAACTCATATCATATCAAATCAAAACAAAACTTATTCTGGACCCAAATTGAAGTAGACTCAAATTATATATCAAATTTCTAACGGTAACTTTTTAACATATCCAATACTAAAAAACTTCTTTAACTACTTGTTCTCTGCCACTTCTTGTCTTTCTCTACGACACTGGTTCAATCGCCGACTACCACCAAAACTTTCACAAATCATTTAAAGACCTGTAGGTAAGTTTTTGCTTTTTATCTTCCACCTTCTAATTTTCTTGTATTTTTCAAAACCCTAATCTCACTTGTCTTTTATACTATATAAACCTTAAGCTTACCCATCAAATTTTTCTTTAATTTTTTCGAGTTAAACACTATCGATAGTACAATTTCAAACAATCGATTCTTCATGAAATTTTAAACTTTCAATACCCACATATTTAGAAAATTTGTCATTTTATTTCTTCAATCTTTCTTTTTTTGTTAAAAAAAAGTATGTTTTTATATTTTTCAAACCATGCCTATGTTAACTATTTTTTTTTCTTTATCTGGATTTATAAAAGATGATAAGGAATTAGAATAATCTTAGAATTCTGGGGTGGTTTCTT